AAAAAAAAAAAAAAAAAAAAAAAAAAAAAAAAAAATTTTGAAAAAGCAAAAACGGAAATTTAGAAAATCGAAAAGAAATGATAAATACTAATAATAATAGTCACGATAATAAGCTGTCGGGATCGGTGGAGTCGTCCTGCGACGGTGATACAGACAAACGTCGGTCCAAATGTCGTTCCAGTCCGGTATGGAGACGACGACTAGAAGTAAAAATAAACTAGATAACGAAGCCAGAGAAGACGATGAAACGGGATTAAAATACAAAAATATGAGAAAAGGAAATGAGGCAATAACTCTCGGCCATGAAAAGTAAAAAGAATGAAATGAAAAGCGAAAAAAATAGGAGCTGTCAGCACTTAGGCTCTGGCGACACCTCCTTTTTTTTTTGTTTTCCCTTTCTTTTTCTGCCTCTTTCTCTTGTGAATGAGATTTTCTGCGTTCTGTAATTTAAATGGTGCATAGTACGGAGTACATACATACTCCTTGGATGCGTACCTCGAGAATCCATGTCCCTACCTACACTTCGTGTTCACTCTTCGTACCGTACGGAGATACAGCTTGGAAGACTTTGAAAATGAACGAAAGCCAGAAAGGGAATGGAATTGAGCCTGACATCTTTTCAAGCCAATCCACATATCAATCTAAACTTGTTTTTATAAAGCATTACCAGACAAAAGAACGGACAAAGTAACAAGGCTAGACACCTTGTGGGGGCATACTGTACATCAGTACATGCTTACAAATGTACGGAGTATGTACAATACACTGATCTGGAGGATTGATCCGACCTATTGTTAGAGACTACCCTAGAATAGTTAGGATGCTAGAGGAGCAATATAATAAGTGTGTTGGTTTACAGATACCCTTGAAATACGATCGATATTAGTAGGTACTATCAGGGTACCAGGATTGCTAAGAAAAAAGACATTTGGAAGGTATCTCCTTTAAAAAAACGAAAAAGAAAGAAAGAAAAGAAAAGGGAAAAGAAAAATGAGTTGAAAAAAATAAAAAAATAAAAATAAAAATAAAAATTGACAGCAGGCATTTTTTGGGTCTGGCTTGTCGATAACAGCTGGGGTAAAGACTAGTCTGAGGTTTGTTGCCCACCGACTGAACACTCTTCCGCTCAAGATTATTTGGAGAGGGGAACGGAGAGCCCCACTCCAGCTGCCTGTGCCTTGGGCTCTAGATTAGAGGCTTGGCCAATCATTGCCGACTGGGCGTACAGCCTTTTCCTTGGAAAAATTTCCGCTAGCCTATAGATAGTTTAGTATCCTGCACGGTGGGATCCCACATTGTTGATGCGACAGTATTAATTGGTATTATATACGCACTCTCAGATAATTTGGTCCTTATGAGAAGTCCAGCGGTGGGCGTGTGAGAGGGAAACGTCCCAGAGTTAGGGTATTGGCAGATGGTTGCTCTATCCTTTACTAGTTCAGAGCTATCATCAGGCGCCTTATCAGGAAAGCTCTCGGAGCCGACCGACCGATACCCGTGGGTATAAATTATGGAGGCGAGCTATAAAAGGGTTGTGGTCCCTCCTCCCTTAGTAGTACTACTAGTAGAAGTCCTCGGCACCCCTAACTCAAAAGGAAATTCTAATCTAATGCCCCATCTTTTACAGGGGCTATTCTTCGGGTGTACCAGGTTACTACCCGTCGGTGTTCTCCTCTAAGGTTGGGTTACCCAGTACTACCCTCTCTTTAAGAGCTTCCGGTTGTACCACCCACGGAGAATTCAAGTATGATTGGGTTACGGGCTAGCTAGTAGGAACTAATTTAGACCCAGAGTTTTCCGTATTACAATTACGATCGCCACCACTAGGGTATGGACGGTTGACAAGCGCCTGTCAGAGCCCAGGTGGAAGCGACGGACTGAGGCAGACCCTGGTACATACCTATAGTAGGCAAACGACCCGATACAAGGAGGGCGTCGACAGGACGGTGAGCGAATTAGAAGAGGAGTGACTGGAAAACAGAGTTAAGAATGCAGAAAGGAAAATCATAAGTAAGGGATACACTTTAATAGCGAGAGAGCAATACGGAGTGCATCCGAATGTTCATACCTCATTGGATGTGCATGTACAAGTAGTACTTGAGGAGGAAGACCACTGAATAAGTAACTGCATCGTTCTCACCTAGTAAGAATCACCTTTGGGGGAAGTAAGATTTCCATCTCCTCTCCCCCCGAAATAGTCCCGCCTTGTTATTACCGTCGTTGCCGGGAAGTACGTACATACGTATGTATGTATGTATGTATGTATGTACTAGGTACTAGGTACTAGTACGCTACTAGAGATGTTCGCTACCTTGTGCTAGATCTCAAGGCTGTTTCAATGTATACTGGAGATCAGATTGTGATACCCATAGGAACTCTGTACTCCGTACGATGGTGTGATCCCAGGAATTGACCATCAAATTGAAACTCAAATCCCGAGAGAGTTGTAACGAAGCCATTTATCATTCATTCATCCTTTCATCCTTTCCTAGAGGTCGCATCAGATGCATCAGTTCCTTAGCTCCAACCCCCACGTGGTTGATTTCAAGATGCAATCAGACGGTTATACCTCCACCCGATGGCATGAGGGGAAGGAAGATAAGTGCAATCTAGAGTCAAGGCCGTCCACTTACTGAGGGGTCACAATTGTCGTAATTCAAGGGACAATCAAACATAGGATGATCACTGCATGGTGTTTCCAGCTCCGGTGAACGTGCTGGACGCCGAACCCAGCATTCATCGCATATCCGTGGCTTTCGATTTTACCCACATGGTTCAGTAGCCAGTCAGTTAGTTACTACAACACCATGTCCCCATTCAGACCCATACCTGTGCTATTAGTTACCGACGTCAGCGGAAGGATTAGTAAGAGAGTAAAAAAATAATAATAAATAAATAAATTATAAAAAAAAAAAAGGCCCATGAGGCTTTAAATCCTATCTGGGGTGAATTGTAGATCTCAATATTAGCGATGGGATACGTAAGGGTGGGAAGAGCAAATGCATGACGGTGGAGACTGAGAATCGTACTCAAGCGGCTTTTAGCGACCTTTCCACCAAACTAGCTTTGACTGGAGACCATGGTTTGGTTAAACCGGGATCGTAGAATCTTGAGCATGAAGGGTCGTAATCCGTCTCCACTGAAAGGATTGAGATCCTTTTGATAGATCAGTCATCCTGGGGAATTAGACTTTCGTCTCTCGAGATTCCAGTCATTACTAACTTGGTGAAATGACACTCAGGGAGGATTTCTTTTTTTGCGGGATAATTTTCCTATAAACATTTTCTTTCTTTCTTTCCTCCTTTTCCGCTTCCGTCGTGCTTTTTCTGGGCCTCAGACTAGCACGTACGGAGTATGTACATATATATATATGCTCGCATCTGTATGTATGTATGTATAGAGTACTTGTGTAGCTGTTCATACTATAGGTTCCCTAGATGATCTTCTTCCTAGCGTACCATTCTTCTCCTTCCTTAGCTTAACCACCGCTCCTGATAGATACGATATCCTCGGGAAAGCCCAAGAACCAAGAATAAAGTCTTATACGAGGTGATAGAAAATAAATATTGAAACCATCATCGCAACGTGGACAGCTACAATTATCGTGGGTACCTGTAAGTTCCCAAAATGGCTCCCCCAAGTGGAAAGAATCTGCCCCTACACAGTACCGTACGCTCGGCCTTTGAAGATCACCTGTGACTCTTCTTTCGAATTATATCTTATGATAGGCTATCTGATTTACCTGTAGGTACCATATTGTTCTCCTCTTTGTATGCAGCAATAGGTTAGGCCAACCCAAGTTAATACGCCGATACTGCACGTTGTATGACACTATCACGGTTCTCCACATATCACTACACGTTCCAGATCAATGTAGACCTTCATGGGATTCATGTTAAGTTTACCTTACTCTGTACTCTGCGTCACATTGTCTGCTTTTGCGAGTTATTGGGATTCAAGTATAGTCTCCTCTCAATGAAATGACTCTCATCCTTTCGGATCCACGTCACTAGTGACATGGTATGTCTGCTATCTACCGAAACATCTAGAAAATTGTAAAGTGTAAACTGTAGACTGTAAAGTAGATAAAAGAAAATCAAAGGAATACGAATGGCGTGACAATCGCACACATGATAGAACTAAACCTGGCGTTGGGCATAGGCGGCGGTGGATCCAACACGTTAGTGCGCTCCTAGTTTACCCTCATCCACTTGTCGCCAACTGGCGCAGCTGCTGATAAACAAGAACTAAAACAGAATAGAAATAACCAGGTGTGGGAATAGGGAATACATGCCGCCAGGCTGACTATAACGTCATTGTGCTGCGACTGGTACAGCTTTTTCCTCCTTAAGTTACACCCAACGACCTGGTCATTGGTTCTCTTGCAGCCCACTGCAATGCATAGCTTTGGGGAGGGGAGG